AGATATTTGGCATTTCCAATGATTTTTACAGAGTCAAGCAGGTTCATGGTTCTGTGATATCTTATTAGTGATATTTTAGTTTCATTTGGTCTGTTGCAATGACCTGGAGAAGCTCCTTTATTAATGAGCCAAAACTGAACATTCAAAACACAGCTTCCAGCAATGTCAACTGTGTGATCAATGTAACCTTGAAGAATTCATGGACACTGCTAGATGCCAGGAAAGGGCATGTGAGGAAATATAGGAATAGATGCTTTACTGATTTCCTAAAGATCATATCTGGGTTGCAATCAAGATTACTGATCAGCACTTTCTGTGTCATGAGATATCTTGGATTTTCTGAATAATTTTCATTCTTGCCTTTGATGACATGTGATGGAGGGATCTGCAATGCCTGAACCCAGCTGATGTTATGATCTTTTGGTGTCTGCTGTATTTTATTTCAAAGGTTACTGGACAACATATGTTCTTAAGAAAAACAAATCACTTTCATTGAGGTATTTTGATACTATGAAGTCTAATACAGATAGTTTTCATTTAATGACCCACCTAGTTAATAACTGTTTGGACTTAAAACCAAGACATGGTGTTTGGACTTATGATCTGGCCTTTTTTTTTTTTTTTGGGAAGTTCTGTACATCTTGTTAATACAGCCTCAATGTCTTTTTTTGGAGAGTATACCTTGTTTACACTGTGCTATAATTTTTGCTGACTGTACTGTATAGTACAGCACTGTAATTTTATGTTCTGTTATACATTACAGTACTGCATGTAAGAGTTATGCAAATAAAAGCAAAGTCATCAAGTTGGAGTTTCCTTTAACTATTTCTACTTTAGTATATGTGTTGCCAAAGCAAGCATTCTTTTAACTATTTCTCTGCTCAAATATTGTAACGTATATACTGTATACAATTCCTCATTTAGTGATCAATTCACTGCAACCTAGTCGCAGGACTGAAATTCAGGCATTACATAGGGAATGTCTGTACAGTTCTCTCTCATATTTAGTGAAGATTGGTTCCAAAAACCACTACAGATAATCAAATCATGGATGTTAAAGTCCCTTTTATAAATTGGTGCAGTATCTGCATATAACCTATACGTATCTTTCCATATACTATCTCTAGATTACTTATATTACCTAAAAGAATGTAAATGCTATATAAATAGTTGTTATACTGTATTGTTTAGGGAATACTGATAATAGAAAAGTCTGTGTATGTTCAGTACAGATTGTTTTCCTCCAACTCATTTTGATTTGTGGTTGGTTGAATCCATACATGTGGAAACTAGGGCTATGGAAGGCTAATTGCATGTATAAAAGTGTTTTTGAAAGTGTTATTCAGAAGAGAGAAAATCCAGAGGCAATCTAAATACTGAATGTGTAAGAGAACAGTTAAGTGAATTTGCTATGCCTTTCTAATATAATATTACACAGACATTAAAATCTTGATTATGAAGGTCATTCAGCGACAAGAAATGTTAGTTTAGAAAAAATATGCAAAATTAACTCTTATGACAAATGTTAAAAATAGTAAAATGAGGAAGGAACAACTTTTAAAACATCATGTTGTATACCATAAATATACTCAATTTGTGCTTATAAGTTAAAAATAGATAAATAAAAGAGGAAGAAAATATACCACATTGCCACCCATGGTGTTAAAAGGACAGAACAATTGTATTTTCTAATTTTATGTAAACTTAATATAATTTAAAAAGCTAGGTTGTAAACTGGGCATGAGTTTTGAATAAGGTAGGAAAATTAGAGGATGTCTGAAATAAAAGGTGACTGGGTCTTTGGTCATACAGTCATAGAAAGCTGTGTGTAGGCTCCAGTTACCATCAACTGAGTATCTCTATCGGTACACTGCTCTCCAATAAACACTATGACTATATTCTGGGATTCTTTTCTATTTTCCTTCCCAGTCCTATATTCTGTCTCAGCATGAGACAGAAGGTAAACAGTTAATACCCATGTATAGCTCCTTATTCTATAAAGGAAATAGACTGTATATTTTAAAAACATTTATCTTTCATAAGGCACTCCTCACTTACACTGTTACTAACAGTAGTACCAATCATGTTTTCCAGATGACTAATACTTTTGTTGGCATCTATAATGGAAGGAAATATTTGGTCACCAGAAAGTGTATTTCTGCTTCATGTCCCTCAGCCAGCTCTCAGTGTGAAGAGATACAATCCTCACTAAATTGTTTCAGTGTCATTATTTACAAATAGGTTAAATACTGGGGCCTCATTAAGCTATTTTGTACCTGAGTATCTCTTTTATTTGTATTAGCAGATATTCCTCAAAATATAATCTCTCAGCTGAAAGAGGGAAGATGCCGGCTCCCTGAGACTGCCCAGGATGGAAGGAAAACAAGATGAGACTGAAAAATACCCGCTTCAAGAGGATATGATAGCTCTGCGTGAGCTGATGATAGCCACAGGCCACCAGCCACATTTGATTCTTTCTCCCTCACACTCAGGAACCTGCTTATCTCCGATTAAAATTCTTCAAGGAGTATCTCAAGTGACATTTGTTTCCTGGAGCAAACTTCTTTCCTATTTGTTGAGCTAGTATTGAACTTTTCTGATATTTCACAGAACCATGAGATTCTGAAGTTGGAAGAGACCTTGGAAGCATTTACCATTATATTCTCTCAGAAACTCAGAGAGAAGTAACTTTTTCCAATGTGTGCTGCTAAGTCAGAAGCAAGCAATTTCAAGTTTATCACATGGCGGTCCAGGCATACACTGCTACTTATCACCAAGATCTATAAAGGTATGTCTACTATGCCAGCTTGTAAGCTCTTTAAGCAGAGAGGCTGACTTGTTTATCCTTGATGTGACCAAGAAGTAAGGACAAAGTCAAGTGATATGTGTCCTTTCTGATGATGAGTCAGAAACGGTGTTAGCTCAACCACATTCTTTCCTGTTTTCCTTCCCAGTCCTATATTCTGTCTCACAGCGTGAGTCAGAAGGTAAAGAGTTAATACCCACTTATAGCTCCTTATTCTATAAAAGAGATAGACTACATAGACTGGCTGGAAACAGTGTTGCTGTAGGAGCCAAAAGGAAGTCTGTCCCCAGAATCTTTTGTTATGGTATAATAAATGGCACCACAGAGCAACCTGAAGGAGATGGAGATTATGACTTTTAGAAGATGTAATGTGGAGAGATATCCCACGACATGGAGCACTTTATTTTAATGCAAACAGGGTAAATCCTTTACCCCAAAGTCAAGTGGGTTATGTTTTTTCCCCAGCTGGATTATTATAATAATGGAATAAAAATAAATCTTCCATAGATTATTTTTCCTTAAAATGTACACCCCCACACAATCCTTAAATGTGCAAGTGTATTACGATTAGAAATCAGAATACTATGTGAAAAAATTTATAAAAATTCTAGGAATGTTTTAAAACTTTGGCTAAGTTCTCTAGCAAAGATGCTAACATAGGCATTAAGGATACAGTGAAAACTTGGGAGGTTAGGTCTGTCTTTTAACTTGCTGTGATTCTACCTACCCACTCAAACATTTTGTTCATTTCTGGCTTCAACAAATATTCATCAGGTACCTAATATGCACCAGAGACCTTGCTGTACAGAGCAGCGAACAAGGCAGATATGATAATTACAATCTAGCGAGGATGACAGACAATTAACAAAAGAAAGCAAATAAAGAGCAGAAGTACAAATGATAGTTACCATTAAGGAAATAAATAAGATGGCAAAGAGTAATGGGCGGGGAGGTGGCAGTAGGGTTTACTTTAATCTGACTAGTGTGCACCACATACTTGCCTATGTATTTTTTGTTTTGTTTTGTTTTTTGCTTTTTTGAGACAGGGTCTCGCTACATAGTTCAGGCTGGCCTTGAACTCACTATATAGCCCAGGCTGGCGATCCTCTTTCTTCAGCCTCCTGAGTGCTGGAATTAAAGGTATGTGCCACCATGCCCGGCTTACCTCCCTATATAATATCAGGGAAGTTACAGAATTTTTCTGATACTCAGATATCCAACAAGACAAACTAAAGTTCAACTAGGTGGTATGAGAATGGAAAAAACCTTGATGTGAAAGTAAGAAAACTTAAGCTTGTGTCCTGGCCTTGTCCGTCAAACCCCATCTGCATTGTCTCTTTGTGACTAGTGCACAAGAACCCTTGGAAACTGAAGTCACCTTTGGACTCTGCCCACACCACACACTTAAGGTTTTTTTCTGTCTTTATGAGACAGGGTCTTTCCCTATGCAGTTCAGGCTGGCCTTGAGCTCACTTTGTAGCCCTGGCTGGTCTCGAACTCAAAATGATCCTCTTGCCTCAGCCTCCCGAGTGCTGGGATTATAGGTGTGTGCCACCATGCCTGGTTGTTGTTTTTGTTTTTAAAATGGGCTCTTATTATGCTGCTCAGACCGCTCACAAATTCTTGGGCTCCACTGATGTTCTGTCCCATCCTCCTAAGTAGCTGGGACTACAGGTGTGTGACACCGCAGCCAGCTCACACTTGTTTCTTTTTTACAACTTTCTGGATGTTTACACTCATTTTCACTAGACATGACCTCTGAGGACTTTAGAAACACGTAAGTAAGTTTTCTGTTTTACCACTTTTAGACAAGAAGCCTATTTACTTCATGAATGGAATGCTGAGTTTGGTAGACAGGCACTGAGAACCCAGTTAGTGATCATGCATTCTTTGTGGCACATTAGAAAACCCTACTGTTGTATCTCAGTGCTAAAGTACTTGACCAGCATACACAGGGCCCTAGGTTCAAGGTCCAGCCCACACAAAAATCAAACCAAACCCAATCCAACCCAACTTCACAAACTGGCTTTACCCTCTCTTTTCTTTTTCCTGCACTGTTTAAGTGACAGGTTGAAGAAGAAACCCAAATCACTAGCAACCATTATCTCTTCTTCAAATTGTGGCTAGCTGTGGTTAAAGCCAAGCATAGAATCCTTCAGTAAAAACCCATCATATCCCAGAAAAGAAACCATACCGAGTGCAGAGTGCCATTGCTGGTTGCTGTGGGAGGGCGAGCCCACCGCTCATTTTCCAGTTCTTCCATTACTTGGTTCATGGCACTCTTCAGCCATGTGTCCACAGAAACACCAATCTGCTTTAGCAGGTCCAGCCGGGCTTCTGCTTTCAACTTAATTATCTAAGGAAATCGAAATACGAGTTAGAAATCAAGGCCTTTTTCCCTCACATTAAGCTATTCTCCAATAATTAATTAGAATGATCTTGATATTCACCAGCAAGTCTTCCTTGGCACAGATGCTAATTTTTCTCCTGCAGAGAAGAAGAGAGGGGAGGGAGGAGAGACATGAACAAAGAACAGGAGCTTCAGCCTCCTGATAATGGCAAATGTATACTTATACTTCATTCTCATTCACTTATTCATTCATCTCGGGGGGTGCTGGGACTGAACCCAAGGTCTCCTGCATGTTAAGTACACATTGTACCACTTAGCTCTACCTAGTTCCTTGGTTCACCTGTATCTTGACAAAAGCATAGTACTGAAAGCACAGTATTGATGACACATCAAATATAACTTAGGAACAGGAAGAGATTAATGTGCCATAAAGTCTGCTTTCCTCTCCCATTAAAAAAGCTATGCCTCAGAATATCCTGAAATATACCATTTTTGAGTAGCCTTCCTACCCAATATGTGGGCTTTTTCTTTCTTCTATAATCCATATTTTATAGTCTATTAATGACATTATGTTACTTCCTTGCTTAAAAACTTCCATGACTCTAGACTACCTATTAGGTAGAGTATCAACTAATTTTTTGGTGCCAAGGATATAGCTCAGTGGCACAGAGCCTGCCTGCCAAGCACGAGGTCCTGAGTTCAATTACTGGTACCAAAAAAAAAAAAAAAAAACCACCAAAAAAACCCAAAAACAAAAACCCTAATTTTTCACCTGGAGTAAAATGGCTTTCACAATTTGACTGGATTCTTTCATTTCTCCCCACACGGCTTATGCTCTCACAGCACCACACACCATTTTTCCAACACTCTGTGTACTCTCATGGCTCTGTTCACATCAGCCTCCCTGTGCACAAGGCCTATGCCCCCACTTCTGGTCCTAGGGGTTGAACTCAGGGCCTTTGCACTAAGCTACAGTCCCTAACCCTTACAAAAACTTTTTTTTTGAACCAGGCATGGTGGCACATATCTGTAAGCCCAGCATTTTAGATGCTGAGGCAGAAGGACTGCTGCAAGTTTAAGGCCAGCTGGGTTACAGAGCAAGATATTGTCTTAAAAAAAAAAAAAAATCAGAATTTTCTTTTCTTTTTTTATCTTGAAACATGGTCTCACTAAATGGCTAAATTGCCTAGGCTGAGCACAAATTTGGGATCCTGCTGTCTGCACCTTCCAGAGTGCTGGAATTATAGGGTATGCCACCATGCCTGGCTCTCTTAAGTTTAACAGGCTCCAACTTTTATTCTTTTGTATATGTCGTATTGTCTACAGCCACGCACCCTGAACGTGCTCGATCTTGTCTGTATATGTCATATCACCATTCTAGTATGCACTTTAAAGCAATGAAATGCTAAAGAAAGAAAAGGGGAACCAAGAATCTCTTTTTTGGAATCATAAATATAAGTCACTTAACTGCTGAGGCAGGGAAACAAAGAAATAGAAGTATTCAGTATATTTTATTTTCTCAATACTGAGTAATCTAGTTTTCTTAAGATTAATTTTTGCCAATTCTTTACCAAACAACTGATGAATATGGTATTTGCAAACTTAGATTGCAGCTCCAGAATTAAACACTGTTATCTTCCACTGGAGATACAGTACAGTGTATATATTTTGATTTCTGTCCATGAAGTTCTCAGTTTATAACTTCCATAGCCTTTGTTATTTCCTAAGTGACTAGAACAATGCCTATCTTTCGTTAAATAATTTAGCCTTTTGTACTTAGTTTTGGAATCAGTTCTGAAATAGCTTCAGTACAATAAAGATGAATGACAGCTGTCTGTTACATTGTTGGGGTGAGATAGGCCCCAGAAAGCAAAGTCTTTGACTTTTACCTGCTCCCTTTTCTCTCCAAGGAAGGCCATAGAAACTAGAATTTTTGTTCCTTAAAGCAGGTCATAAAAAGTAAACTCTAATTTTTCCTTATTGTTTTAGAGCTGGCCAAAGAGAAATTCTCTGACCTACCTTATCTCATAGTAGATCATAAGGCCCCATTTCAGAAGGGATTTGAGCCCATATCTGGAAGGAAAGAATGCAGCACAAAAAGGCCAAGAAGTATCTGAACATAGAGGCCCTGCTGGGTTTTCCCACTGAGGCTATCAGCTTTAGTCACAACTTTTTCTGTCCAATCACATTTTTATGTTGTCCATGCTTCAGTCGTGTCTATGTAATATAGTCTCCAGAAAACTGCCAAAGAACAGGCTCAGAGAGCTTCCGGACAGCTGACCACATGCAGTATTGCAGGAAAGTGACCAAGAACTCATCCATGTGCCAGGAGAGTGGCACATCCCAACTCCATGGGATGGAAGCTCTAGTACCCAGAACTGCTCTTGACCTTGTCCTATGTATTATGTCTTCCTCTGGCTGTTTACTTGTATCCTTTTAGATGTAGTAAAATAAAGTATTTTTCCAAGTTCTGTGAATTGAGGTAGCAAATTAATGGAGCCCCAAGGGGGGTTGTGGGAGCCCCAATTTAAAGCCTGTTAGAAGTTCTGGAGGCTTGGACTTGTGACTAATGTCTGAGCAGGGCAAGTCTCAGGGCTGAGCTCTCAACTTGTGCAGTCTGACACTATCTCCAGGTGTCAGAAATGAATTGAATTAGAAGATACTTTGTTGGTATTCACTACAGAACTGATTGCTTGCTTGCTGGTGGAGAGAAATGCCTATACATTTTTGGGATCACAAAAATGATACATGTTGTCAATATAGAAGAGGAGGAAAGGAGTTTGGTTTGTTTTTCTTAAAATCCTTAGAGGTTTCAATTTATTTTTCATTTTTTTGAGCCAGGGCCTTACTATGTAGCCTATACTGGTCTCAGACTTGGTATACTCCTGCCTCAGTCCCCCAGGTGCTACAATTACAGGTGTGTGGCCAGCTGTCCATATTTTAACAGTTGTTTAAATGTAGAATTTTCTAGTGTTTTCAAATGAATTTTGATGATGCCCCAACTGACTAAAAATTTTCAAAGCGTAGCTTTCTGTAAACTTGATGGCATTCCAAATACTGTTTAGGCAAATCACTTTTGAAACCTTAGCCTTTCTAAAGTAATATCTTGAAATTCTAGATCCTTTAGGATACATAATCATGGTGTGTTAACACAATAAATTACCTTGAGCTGAATATACTATAGTTCAAACTATAGTTGAATTTGTGCAATTTTTGACAATTTTAAAGTGTAACTTGGGCTTACCTCATTTGCTCCAAGGTCAGGTCTCTGTTTACTACAACTGTACTATTTAGGACAGAACCTTATTTACAGAAGGGGATCGATCAGTAATGGTAAATAACAGTATCTGCCACTCTATGTTTGGTATCTTTTTTTTTTTTTTTGAGGTAGGGTCTCGCTGTGTAGTTCAGGCTGGCCTTGAACTTTCTATGTAGGCTGGACTGGCTTCAAACTTGAGTGATCCTCTTACCTCAGCCTTCCAAATGCTGGGATTATAAGCATGTACCACCAGGCCCAGCTATCTTTGGCATTAAAAAAAAAACCACTCCAAACAACTTTTATCAAATGTACTAGAAACTATATAAGTATATTTTTCATTGAATTTACAAAACAATTCTGTGGGTATCCTAAACTCCCTTTTATAAGAGAAAAAGTGCTTTAACCATGGCTGTCTAATTATGGTAAGTTGTTAAACTGATGGTCTCCAACCAGTCATGCCTCCTGGTACTCAAGTAGTCCCCTCCCTCATTAACTTTGATGGGAACAGAGCCTGACCCATAAGGGTTACTAGCACATGACTTCCTTCTTAGGATGTATCACTAATATGTAAGGTAGCCCATTTTAACTTATTTGGGGACGAAAAACTACAAGAGAAAGGGCCCAGCCTTCCCAGATTAGCCCAACCAATCCTCTGGCTAAATGAATTTAGCTGCACAAAATTGGTAAAAGATGTGCATAATAAAAAAAAGATATGCATAATAAATATCCAGAATACTGAAAGGCAATAAAACACTGTTGCTTTTGCCATAAAGTTTGAGGTTTTTTTAAAAAGCAACAACAGTTTACTGTGTTTGAATAATTCAATCACCAAATACTTGGGTGTTTTCCAGTTATCAAATAATCTTTAATTTAGTTCTGATTCATCAGTGAACAAACACTTTATGATATCAATCCTTATAACTCACTGAGCCTGGTTTGTGATCAAAAAACTGGTCTTGATGAGTGGTCATGTGTATTTTACAAGAAATTATATTCTACTCTTGTGTGGTAGGTACTTTATACATGCCAATTAGGTAAAGTTAGCTAATAGCACTGTTCAAGTCTTCTATAGCCTTACTGATACTTCATCTCCTTGTTCTATCATTTACTGAAATGGGGCACTGAAGCCTTTTTTAAATGCCAGTGTGGATTTGTCTGTCTCCTATTCCTGTTCCATCAGTTTTTGCTTGATGTATTCTGCAGCTCTATTACATGTTCATCTGTAACTATTGCGTCTTGATGAACTGCCTCTCCCCAAATCATTATGAACTGTTCTTTTTTTTTTTGTCTCTTTGAGGCAGGATTTCACTATTAGTTCAGGCTCACACTGAACTCACTTTGTGGCCCAGGCTGGCTTCAAACTCACAGTGATCTTCCTGCCTCAGCCTTCCAAGCACTGGGATTACAGGTGTGTACCATGACATCTGGCTTATGAATTATTCTTAATACTCCTTGACCTGAAATAGTTCACTCTTTCTGACATTAATACAATCACTCCATTTATCTAATGATTAGTGCTTGCTTGCCTATGGTAAATAACAGCTGAAATTTCTGTTCAGTTTTTTCACTGTTTTCTGTTTTTCCTTTTACTTGTTCTTATCCTGACAAGCTCTTTTGAGTCTCTTTCCACATGTGGACGCAGATTTTGGAGAAGGATTTGAGTGAAAATTGTACCCGTCAGCTTTACTGTTGCTGGACACAACACCCAACATCCACAACTTAAAGGAGAAGAGGTTTAATCTGGCTC